TTTCAAGTCGAAGTACGATAAAGTGTGGAAAATTCTTAGCTTCCCGCGAACAAACGAAGTGGAGGTCATCGAGCAGAACCCGAAGAAGGAAGCGGATCTAAAAGTGGTTTCCATCGATCGGTTAAAGCCGTGGCATCCGCCATTACCCGACGAGAAAGATTCGCAACGGACGTTGAACGAAAAAGAAATGGAAGAAGCCGAGCTTGCTTCGAAAAATGGTACTAATCAATTTTTCGAACCACCTCTGCTACCTGAAAGGGAAAAAGTGGATAAGGGCGCAGAGCATACTCCTCAAAAAGAACCTTTTTTCGAACCACCTCCGCTACCTGAAATGGAAAAAGAAAACAAATCTACAAAGAAAAGAGGAAGAAAGAAGAAAGAGGATAAGGATTTCGAAACAGCAGTCACAATCAAGTTGAACGCGGAGGCTGGTAATTTGGCAGAAAGGTCACTGGAAAAAGATACCGAAACGAGCTCCAAAGTACCAGAGCGTACCTCCAAAAAGGACTTGCAACAATCCTTTTTCGAACCACGCACTGCTACCGCAGATAAAGATGACCTTTTGAAACAGCGAACGGACGCTGAGATATCAGAGCGTGACCCAAATTTTTTCGAACCACGCACTGCTACCGGCGATGATGACCTCATTCAAAAGAGAAAAGAGGAAATAGAGGCGGTCAAATCAAAAGCTGAACAATTGGGCCGTGATATAGCGAAAGCAATTAACGAGCGGAAGGTTAAACAGAAGAAAAAGAAACCAACTCCTACGGACTTATTAACTCAAAAAGGCGAACCTGAGGACGCAGCCGAGAAGGAACTTCTTGATCGGATAACTAAAGGACGCGAAAACAAATAACCCACATAAACATGATTAACGGGATTAATGGCACTAAAAATAGAAGTTCGGAAGGTGTAAAGGTCATACGAAGTTCATCAGCCAATCGTTATCGTTTTCGCTGATAGTGGAAAGGTCAACAAACTCTGACGAAAAGTCATCAAAAATGTTAAAGGTCAAAAGGTCATTGAAACGGACACCAGAAAGGTCATCATGGATGAAAAGTCAACAGGAAGGTCCTCCAGTCGAAAGGTCATCAGACTCCGGACTGAACCATACGAGAGAAGCAAAAGGTTATCGAAAGGTCAAGATACTCCGACCGAAATTCAAATAGAACAACGAAAAGGTCACGGAAGTTCGGAATCTTCAGAAATTGTCGTCCAGTCGAAAGGTCATCGGACTCTGACTGAAATACAAAATGAAGTGCAAACGTCGATCGAAGTAAAAGCGGAAGAAATTAAAGGTCAATCGTATTGGTAAGAGACTCCGGCAGAAATCCAAATGGAACAGCCAAAAGGTCACGAAAGATCTGGATCAGCAAAAATGAAAGGTCATCAGACGAGGTTGTGAAGCCGGATCACAGAAAACCATAAGGTGTCAAGTGAAAGGTCAAGCGACAGACCGACTCAAGGTCACGGGACTTTCACAGAAAAAGACGAACAGCCTAAAGGTCAACAGACGTCTGGAACCGTGGAGAAGGAAGCGCAATCTAAAGGTCAAGAGAGTTCCGTGTCTACGGAACAACCGAAAGGTCACGAGACTTTGAAAGAGAAGGTCGTGCTCCCCATGGAAAGAGCCGCAGTAGATGCAGAAGCGGACTCCGCGCGACAGGTGGTTCAAAAAATCGTTGTTTACACTGTTGAAAGAGGCTTCAGCGACGGAGAAACCGAAAGGTCAAAAGATTCCATTGACGACCGAGAAAACCAAAAGGTCACAAGACTTAACCGCAAAAGAGAAGACTGACGAACCGGAATCGACTCAGTCTTCGTCCGGATCATTGGCGAGATAGACAATCGATGAGAAACAGAGTCAGGAAACCGAACCAACGGACTCGGCATTCCCGCAGAAACCGGATACGTGCGGTACACCAGCGAAATGAAAAATGCTGCCAGAGCACAACAAAATGCGTGGAGAATGGTCATAACTGATGCGACATTGGATAATATATGTCGAACAAATGGAACGACATGACCTTTCGAGTTACAAGGCTGTGAACTTAGAACTGGAAGAACTTTGTACTCGAATAATGGCGAACAGATTAGAAACAGTTGAATGTTAATTAGTTATCGCTGGAGAACTGGTGAAAACGTCAAAAGCGTGAAAGGTCACCGTGTTAGAATGAGACGAATGAACTGAAAAATGGCACGGGAAAGGTCATCACGTTAAAGTAACGAAAGGTCATCGGAATAAGAATTGAATGCGAAAGACTCAGTTCAGTACGGTATAGCCTAACTAGGCGCGATGGTAAAGTATAAAGGTCACGTAACATATTATTGAAACCGCGTTCGTGTACTTGTTGTTTTCAGCGTTTATAGCACAGAATCGAAGGGATAAAGAAATCATGTGGAATATCTATTGGGGTTGAAATTGATTCGGTCTATAAAGCCGGCCCCAAGGGAGTAATTACGGCAGTTAGCCGGCTCTCCTCCTTAAGCGATTCAGTGTTATAAATTGACAAGAGAAACTACGGTAATCAAGCCGGATCTCTTGAATACGAAACGGGGCCACAAGCGGCGAAAAAGAGAAAGACAACAGGTGGAATATTGATGAGGTTAACTTAATGCGGCAACCAGCCGGCCTCATTAGAGTTGTTACGGTAAACTGTGCCGGCACTCTTTTTGAGCGATTCAGTGTCAAAAGCGGAACGAGAAAAACTACGGTAATCGAGCCGGATTTCTCGTATTAACATGGGCCACAGGCGGCGAACAAGAGTAAAAGATTAGAGGTGGAAATTTCATGGGGTAAATTCAATGCGGTAACTAGCCGGCCCCATCAGAGATGCTACGGTAAACTTGCCGGCACTCTGGCCGCTCGAGGCATATTGAAGTTGGATGTGCGGCGGAAAGGTCAAACTGCAAATTTTACCAGGGAGGCAAGCAAAGAAGTGCTTGAAGCCGCAGAAAATCGGCTAAGTTCCCCCATGACCTTTAACAGAAGTTTTGACGAGTGGGATGACCTTTGGGATCATCAATTGCCCAACAGAGTCACCGTACTGGAATTTAAGTCGCATGACCTTTGGGACCATTAACCCAAAATGAGTCGCACGTCTCAACGAATCATCTCAACAAAGGATGACCTTTACCAGGGAGGAAGCGAACTACGCTTGTCTATGTGACGTCCCTCCATGACCTTTATGGATCTCACTTTGAAGTCGTACAATTGATACGCACCTTATTCCAAAGATTGAAGCAGTATTCCTAAGTCGTACTTGATACGCACCTGATTCTCAAGCGGATTGTGATGAAAAGTCGCACTACGGATGCGCAGAATTGCTCAACAGAGCGGAATGGGCCAAAAGTGCGGAAAACGGTGGACAGGACCTGTGACCTTTACGAGTCAGAAATGGAGGATCCTAGTCTACTTTTGATTAATACTTTTGTTGATCTTTTAACTGTTGATCTGTTGTGTATTAGATTTGATATGGAATAGTATTTTGATACAGATCTCTTTATTCACATTGTGCATTTGGAATTATGTGATAAATGGAATAAGAGAATTTGATGTTTTCGAGCACGCACAGACACTGGCGACCGTCGTCTTCTCGTGGATTCGGGAGTGTGTCCAGCCTCACAGGAGCTCGGCATCCCCCCAGAGGCATGTGAGACCGGGATCACTAGCGTTCACGTCAGTGGCGCTAGGCGCTACGCCTTTGGATTATGGCCTGTGTTGTGTCTCGCTTCTGATTGGCTTGTGTTTTGTTAGTGGGCGCGGCATAGCACGTGCTGCACAGCGTTGCACGCTGTTGAATGGGCTCCACGCTTTACGATCGAGCTGCGCCGATCAGTGTTGATTTTCTGTTGTCGGAATTTTCAATATTATTAAAAGTCAGCTATTAGCGGTGCGACGTTTCGCGATTCCGCGTAGTTCGCTATACTTATCGCATAGCTCACTCCACGGGATCTATTCCGTTTAGGTCTCCGTATCTGGATCACAGTTGGATCTAGCATTAGAGTGCCTTGCTAGCTGCTGTCGTCGGCTCGTTCTGTTCAATAAAATTAAAATTAATGACACGGTAAATATGTCAAAGGTTTCGTTATTTTGTTATTTTCATTCTAGGCGACAGAAAACAGAAATCGTAAGAAGATGCAGGCTTGTAATATTTTTAGAAAAACGAAAGCTAGAAGCCTCGTGTAGCTGGGACAGCATTCATATATCCCATTCCGCATTTCTTCGGTTTTTCACAAGTGGCTACTTTCCGCCGTCAGGAGATACGCTGCATGAAGCATTAAAGGTATTACTCAAATTTTGATCATCGCTGCGGGCCAGCGGCAAGGAAAACATTGCCGCTTCATATTTATAGCCAATTTAAATTTTCCCATTTCTTTGTGTCCTACATATTGTGGACAGTACGCTTCACTGCAAATTTGAAATGTTACAAGTAATTTTTCTAAACCAAATTGCGCGTCTGCATTGGCGTCGGAATTGACTTCGTTGAACACCTGTCGAGAAGCCTGTAGAGTCTTAAGTCGATGGTGGATTGTCGAAACGCTGTCAGCAATGAAAGCGTTGGGAATCATGAAACCGGACTCAGCCCATGCCGCCAAAGTCCTGGCACCGGCTGTTTCGGGGACGACTGACAAACTCTGAGGATTTATGTTGAGTGCTTTATTACTGTGCTTACGATCATGCGGAGTGCGCATTCTTGGATACAGAGTTATATAGCTGACAGTGAGCACTTTTTCCATCCCCACTTAACAAACCTACGGCTTTATTGCCAAGTATTCACAGTATGTACTTTCACAGTCAGCGAAATGTCAGTACCGGCATGGGGAAAAGCACTTGAATTTAGTGGTTTCCGAAAATCCTTTAAGTAATATACGATGGACGGTGCCTGGCATCTACTTGGAAACAGTGGCGGACGTTCGCGTAAGCTTACGAAAATATAAAACTGCCCGAACAATGCGGCTTATAAAGCGCTCACCACATTTACATGCTTAAAAAAAAACAGTACCAGCAAAGTATTACGTTAGAATCTAAAAAGTCACTGGCCAAAAGAATGTTTAGTATCCTGCTGGTGTTCATAACCGGTCTGGCACTGTCTTTGACAGTCAACAGCGACTACATTGCGTACAGTACCCCGCCAGGTCAACCGGATGGCTTCACGCCGTACGTCCTTATCGAACAACCCATCTCGGGTGGTAGAGGCAACCATGACCGATTTGGATATAATATGGACGCGAACGAGCAAATGGCCAATGATGAGCTCAAGCCGGGGGAGGTCAGGTGCCCTGTGGACGGCGATCCTCACTGTCGGGACTGCGTGGCGGGGCATTGGGACGATAATCTTGTGCTGACGCAGTGCTGCTTCTCGCATCACTGGGCCTGGAAGAATAACCGCAACCTCCGCGACATTCTTCCATACCGCTTCCATTTGTCACCCGTAAACCAGACTGAACCTTATCGCGACCGATACGCGACCGCTGGCGAAATATGGCACGGTAGGCGCAACTGGCTCACTGTCTGAGCACTGCGATAAGTTGTACGCTTGTTACTGATGATTTGGGGTGTGTGGGTTTTGAAAAAAAACGTTTTCGATCCCTTGACCTGTCTGGTCTGCAATACATTTCATCCGTGGAGCATTTGTTGTGTCGTATAATTTAATTACGCTTGCAGCCAAGTGCAGTTTGGGTGCAAATGTGCAATTTTAATGTATTGTAGTGGATGTGTGCACGAATGAGCCCATTGCGACCCTTCCAGAGGGAGGCTACATCCCGTGCCGCCGGCGCAGCGCTTGTCCAGACGTTAGAGCAGATGGTACCATAAATGAAGATAGTTTATTCTGGCAACCATAAACTGACGTCTGTACGTCGGCACCCGGTAACCACGGTTACTGGCCAGACAGACTTTGTGCACACTACTTTTATAACTGCGGCAAGTTACTGTATATTGCATTAGTTTTCGATGTAACAACTTTATTGAGCTTCTTCTCTTGAGTGAGTGTTAAATAATCTTTTCATTCAGCAGTGTTATATAATCTTATGTGTGTGCTTATTTGCTACCGCAAATAAATTCTTATAATTATGGATGTATGGGACAGGAACGAGACCACCAGCAAAAGCGACCCCTTCTGACAATTACAGATATAGAGTACCGTATCTGACGAAAACGCCTTGTTGAAAACAAGCTTTCTAACATTTTTGCCTCATAAACTCAGTTTGCATGCAGATTTTGTTTCTGAGCCTCCGCAATCATGTTTACTCAAAGTTCCGATCGCGATAGTTGAGTCACTGGGCGTGTTACGTGCTAGTCCAATCAGTGCAAAACTGGCAACCAACTTCGTCATTATTCAGAGACCATGTAAATTATCTGCATATGGCAGCTACTCGTGAATGTTTTTGGCTTATTTAGAAAATTTGGCCTGCTCACTATCCAGGAATCCATCTGATAGCACTGCAAATTTGAAGTGGTATTTCTAATATAATTTTCGTATCTGCACCGGGCCTGTGTTGATTTAGAAAGTGCATTCTTTTAACACTTGCTCATAAACCCGTAGATTCTTCAAGGGGGCGGGAAATTGCCGAACCCTGTCAGCAGTAAAAGCATTCGGAATCATGGAATTCAGACGCAGCGCATGCGCCCAACGGCAAACAGAGATTGACAAATTCTGAGCAATGGCACTGAGTACTTTCCTCGCAGAGCAAGCATTCTTGGATTTACATTGTTTGGCAGTTGAAAGTGCCCGTTTTTCCATCAACACTTAACAAATCTGCAGCAGGTACTTTCCCTGTCAGCGAAATATTTGTGCAGCTACGGGAAAAAGCACTTGAAGTTAGGAAATTCTGTAGATCATGTACGACGGACAGTGCTTGGCAACTACTTGGAAACAGTGGTGATCCGTTCGTGGTATAAGCTGACGAAAGCCCAAAACTGGCCGAGCAATGCGGCTTATAAAGCGCTCACCGCACTTACATGCTTGAACAAAGCGTTACCAGCGAAGTATTACGTTAAACGGAGAAAGTTACTTGCTAAAAGAATGTTTGTTATCTTGCTGTCTTTTGTAACCGGTTCGGCACTGTGTTTGACAGTCAACGGCGACGACATCCTGTACAGCATCCGCCGGGTCAACCGGCTGGCTTCACACCCTACGTCCTCATCGAAGAACCAATCCCGGGTGGAGGAAGCAATAATCGCCGTTTCAGCAAAGTCTGTGATAATGACTAATAGTTATGAGTCTAATGGTCATGATGATGACTAATACTCGTGATGATGACTAATAGTTATGAGCCTAATAGTTATGATGATGCTCTGAAGCCGGGGGAGGTCCGGTGCCCGGCGGACGGCGATCCCCACTGTCGGAACTGCGTGGCAGGACTTTGGCACAGTGATTTTGTGCTGACGCAGTGTTGCTTCTCGCCCCACTGGGCCTGGAAGAATAACCGCCACCCCCGCGATGTTCTTCCATACCGCTTCCTTTTGTTTCCCGTCAACCAGACCGAACCCTACGAGTATCGCAATCGGTACACGACGGCTGGTGAAATATAGCACGGTGAGCGCAACAGTTCCTGTCGTGCAACTGGGTAGCTTGTGGCATTTCCACAGAAGACTTTTTGTGTGTCAGAGGTTAAAAAAACTGTTTCCGGTGTTTGGGCATTTTTTGTCTGCATGAAAATTCCGGTGGAACATCCGCTGTGCTTAAAATACATTTCACTAGCAATCAAGTACAGTCTTGGTGTTATGTAGTGGATGTGTGCACGATGGAGCCAATTGCAACCCTTCCGGAGGGAGGCTACATCCCCTGCCGCCAGCGCCACGCTTGTCCGGACGTTCGCGCAGATGGTACTATATATAATTGACGTCTGTGAGTTAACCCAGCTTAACCGCGCTTACTGGTTAGGCAGACTTGGCGACGACCTCGTTATGACTGCGGATCGCTATACAGCATTATTTGTCAATTTAATCTTGTCAAGCTTTCTTTTTTCGTGTGTTATAATGTTTTTTCATCCAGTGTACAGTATTGCTAGCACGTTAAATTCATCGCGCCTGTGCTGTGCAGAATTCTTTATAATGCAGGATGGCGTCAGTGCTGTAGTAGATATTGCGTACCGGTTAGATCCGTTACTAACACTGAAAGAGCGAACGAAAATGTACAGAAATTCATAAACAAGAATACCTGATCCTGGTAACTTTTTTTACTGATACCACTTATAATCCCAATTTCCATGTATTAGTTTTCGGTTTTCCGTGTACAGCACTTGGATGGAACTTTACGCTGTGTAAATACAAAAGGATGAATAATATAATATGTATGCATGAAACTAAACAAACTTGATTTTAGAGTACTATGTAGTTCCCAGCTAACCGCTTGTCGACGGCTCACTGTGGTCATTAAAACTGGAGTGAACGACACGGTTAATGTGTGAAAGTTTTCGTTATCTTATTGTTTTTATTCTAGACGAGACAAGAACAGAAATTGTTGACACTAGTGCACTACCATGATGTATACAATACAGAGCAAAACATTCAAGGATAATAGCCAAAATACGAAGTGGCTATTTTGCCGCAGTGTTTGCGGCTAAATAGCCGTTTGGCTATTTTGCCGCACTAGGGTGGGCGAAATAGCTTGCTGGCTATTTTACCGCACACTGCGTTAAAATAGCTGCTCAGCTATTTTGCCGCACTGTGGTTGTCAAAATAGTCAGTTGGCTGTTTTGCCACACCATTATTGCAGCCTGTCTCATTAGTTGCCGCTCACTTTCAATGCGCTCTATACGGTAAAGTGCCGGATGTTCTGCAAAACAGCGTTACTTACTTAAAGCAGAATCTTACAGAGCGTTTCAGAGCAACTCCTCAGTAGACACTCCAACTCAAAATGTGTCACTATTAGTAAAATTAAAATTTATTTTCAAAGCAAGCATGCATCGACGGTTTTAGTCCAGCTTTCAGTACTGTAATCAGCAGCACAACATAGAGGTCAACGATTGTGAACAGCTTTACTGAGAAATCAATAAGCTGGAGCGAACAGGCAGCACGAAAATGCCCATCTGAAGCGATCTGCACCGAGCCTGATCTTTGTAGCGCTGTATTTTATGGCTTCATCCGAGCAAAGCCCGTAGGTTCACCTCCGACCACCAGGTTGCTCCGCGTGAGGATCCCAATAACAGCCGGCATCTCGGAATACATATCCAGTCCGGTAAGAAAGCGTGATTACCTGAAATCACTGGCTTCCTGGGCCTGTATGGGGTATTCTCGGTTGATCCAAGTCTAGGTCCATACTTCCGGGGCTTTTTGGCTTTGGTCAGGTCCAAGCTCCACCGTCCGGGGTTCTTCGCTCGTACCGTATGAATACCGTTTCTATAACGGTCAGTGTGACCGAAGCCTATTGGGTCAAGGTCCCGTTAAAAGCTGGTATGCTACGTATGGTTAGTCCAGTCCGATCCTTACGAGTCGGTTATATCGTTTCTCTATTATGAACATCCTCCTTGGAAGATAAAAACTGTCGTTCTGCCAAGACAAATAAGGAGGTATCTCTTCCGGAGTAATTCTGGTCCGGAAATATATTCTCGTTCGACCATCAGTCAAGAAATGTCCAGGTGACACATCTACCTGTACTCCTCTAAGCCGGATTTGTGGTCACTGTGGGAACCAGGCAGTTGTGTTCAATTATCTCGTTCGGCGGAAACTGCGGTAACGTTTCGTAGGGTGACAGGTATAAAATTCGTATGTGCCGGGGTCGTTTGGGTTAGGTAGTAGGTTGTTTTTGGAGGCCGCGATCTGCGGCGAATTAAGTTCACCACGTCACCATTGGGGATGTGTTAAATTGACATGAAAAAAATTCGATGAGGTTTCGTCTAAGTCCCTAGTAGGCTGTCGTCATGTCTGTTTACCGGTTTGCGGTTAGCTTTGTCTTTTATTAACATCGATCACATCACGGTTCGCCTGTGATACCCTCAGTAAGCTGGTGGTAAGCTCGGAGTCCGTTTGATGTCTAGGTCTCCGACGCAGGCTTCGAAGTTCCGGGAAACCGAGAGGATGCGCTGTTATTTGACTGGGTGGCATAGTGGCGTCAAAGTAATCTACTGGCGACGGTGTCTTCCCGCTCCGGGGTCCCGACGGCTCGAAAATCCGGATTGTTGGCGGGATTTTTGCCGTCGGCGGCCTATGCCGTAGATTTCGGCTTCCGCGCCAACTGTGAGGTTCCAAACTGGGTTGTTTTGATCACTGTTGAGTCACTCTTCACTGATAATCTAGTTATCGAGATGACTCTTTTTAACCGATAATCTCGTGGTTCTTGTCGGGAAAATCGCGATTTTGACGGGTCCGATAAAGATTTTGGTGGGGCTGCTGTCAGGATTTTTAGATACACCGATAATGAATTCGAGATCAGGACAATAAGTTTGGGAGTCTTGACCGGTTGCACAACCTCCAGAGGTCCAGAGGTTCTCCCGGGGTTTTGTGGTTCTTCTCCGGTAAAGCCAAGTCACCCTCTGGTTATATCGGTTTCCAGACCGGTGAAATTGGGTTAGTCATCGTTTACCTGCGTTGCAAAGTCGTCCTCTGGGACCATGTAGTCGTTCCTTCGGTTGATGTCTGGCTTAAGTTGAGTACCATGTAAACCTGTTGGGGTGGCACCAAGTCGCCCCAGTTTCGCAAAGCCGCGGCACTAGTTGGCGCCTGGTGCAACGTTACGTTTCTGAAGAAATCAGTTTATTGTGGCCCCTGTTGGGCGCTCGAACCGGAGTAAGGTTTCACTGGGCTCACAACACTCCCGCCTAAGTCTGAAAGGCAAACTGACCACGGGCTCAGCTTTAACTGGCTCGGAGGAAGTTTTGTTCTTGGCCGCCCTTATTATTGTCGGATGGTTTAAGCGGGTAGGTCAGTTCCTGGTTCTTAGCTTCTGTCCGTCGGGTCTGAACGGGTTTGCTATTCCTCTGTTGGCCTTACCGTAACTCAGAGAAAACCTGCTGTGGTTTCTACC